TTTTTTTTTTTTGAGATTTGATTTTTGTTTTAAGTTATCCCTACACCCAACGTGGGGCTTGAACTCCCAACTTTGAGATCAAGTGTCTCATGCTCCACTGACTGAACCAGCCAGGAGCCCTTAGCTTTTTATAATTCTAAAAACATTATCATACACATGGTCTCACTGGACTCTCAGAACGCCACCATAAGATATATTTTTCCATTTTGTATAAAAGGAAACAGAGGTATGAAGGGTTCAAGGTCCCTCAGTGAATGAATTCGTGACAGCGCTGAGACCAGCCCAGAGTCCGATGCTTGCCCTGCCACACCACACTGCCTCTACTTACCCACCAAACCCACCTGTAGCAATCTACCTGCACAGCATCTCATCCTGTCAAACTTGGACATCGGAGCTCCCTTTTCAGCACCTGTCAGCAAGAGATCTGATGATTAGCAGCAAGGCCAATATTTACCAAATGGTAGGAAACAAAATTACAGTATTTTAGCCAAGATTGTCTATTTGGTTAAATGTTTACATTCATTCCCAATTCTGCAAGGAAGAGACTTTGGGAGCCTCATAAATTTAGGTCTTTCCTTAAGGGGAAGTTGCAGGTTAAGGGCAGGAAAGGATGATCTGATAAGTTTGCCTTAATATGTTTTTCTTTAGGTTCATCCGTTGAAGTGTTTGTAAAGGAGCATGGAACATGGGAAGGGACGGGTTAGAGGTTGATAGGCCCTGGGGCAGCCTACCTCAAACCAATGGTGCGTGATATCCTGGAGCTACAGGGAAGACAGGAAACCAGGGAGCACACTCTGAAAAGCCCCATCTTAGTCACCTATATAGCCTTGGACCTCTGATATATTACAGGTAAAGAGAGATAGGAAACCTGGAGGTCTGAGTATAAAGTAATTTTTCCTCTTCAAAATAAAAGACCTGGGATAAGAAGGTAGGTTTGATGTGGAAAGAATAGGAAACCTGGATGCCTACTCTCCCTCTTCACTTCCCATTTTCTGGTGCTTTATGTCTCTTATCTGATATGATTAGCTCAGCGTTCCTTCCTGCTTCACAGGGTAATTACTGAGTCTCAGCTCCAGGCTCTTTATAAACATCAGATTAGCCCCGAAGCTTTCTTTTGTTTCCTCTTTCGCTTGTTCCTCAGAGGGCATTAAAAAAAACCGAGTCTTGGTCATAATTCCAGCGATTAAGCCTATTTCTACAGAGTTCGCCTTCTGTTCATTTGCATTGCATTGCTCTGTTGAAGACGCTGCTGAGCCTCAGGGTCCCCTGCTCTTTTTTGCACGGCATCTGCCCTTACCTGTTTATACATTAGCTGGGTGGGCATTTAGGGTATCTTTAAAGCAGGCATCTAATAAAGAGCTCTAACTCAGAGCATTAAGGAAAATGGGTCTCTTTGGACACAGCAGAAATAAATGGAATGCCCTAAAGGGAATGGAAGAGAAAATCTATTTCCAGAACATTTGCATTCGTATTAATGAGTACTTCAGGCCATGTACCCAGTAACTTTGCATTCATTACAGCCCTGTTCCCAGAATCCACTTAAGTGATGTCCCTTATGCTTTCCTTCTCCCCCATAAAAGGGAATCTCCCAGAAAATTAAAGCGGCATTAGCAACCTCAGTGTTGAATAGCGTGTGTTTTTCTTTACCCGCTACCCAGTGGCACTGGCATCCACAGGGCGCATGAGCACAAAGCCTGTTGCAAAAGGCAGGAGAGCCTTTCTTCTGACTTGCTACCCTCTGGAGGGAATAACATTAGCGCCTTGCCAGCCTTTCATCTGCCACCTTTCCCCAGCACTGGACTCTTGTCTCCCAGCTGGTTGACAAGCTCTGTTCTCAGTCACCAGGGAAGGCCTAGCTTCCATGCGGCTCTTACCACAGCAGGGAAGCTGGGGCCAGGCAAGCCCAGAATGGAGACCATCACAGGGCCGGAGCCTCTACACCGCTGTGCACATCCTCCGTGCTGAGCACCAGGCATCTTTGGAAGATTTTGTTATCTGGAGAAAAATATGCATTTGCGTCTTAGTTACCGTCTCCAAAACCCTTAGTGCATTATTTATTTAATGCACATTCTGAATGAAGTCAACATTCTGCAAATATATTTGCCTTTTTTTTTTTTTTTTTTTTTTTTTTTTGTCTCTTCCAGGAATTGTTCAGAGAGCAGGACCATGTTTCTAACTCAGCTGTATTGCACAATGAGAGTGGCTTAAGGACATTCTGATGTTTATGTCGAGGGAATCTCAAGCCGGCTATGGTAAGCTATGAAAGCACAGTGTGTCCCGCACCATCCGTACAGCCACCTGTATTATTGTCAAAAGAGGGGAAAAAAGGCAAGAAGTGGTGGCAGTTCTGATGAGATGGGAATTTCATTCATCATCCCGGCCGGGGGCACACAGGAATGACGCTGCGATGAGCCAGTTATGGGGACAGTTGAGTGACATTCTGTAGAATGTGTGTTCCCGGTGGCTTTTCTAAAAACCAACATTGCCATTCTTTATAACCCTCAAATATCACACACCCTTTCCCTGAAATTCCACAAAGAGTGGTTTTCATTCCTTTGATTTGAGGCTTCCTGATTATTTAAAAAATTTCTGAAGAAGCCTACACATTAGGCTTTATTACCCATTTCCACCTTAGTGTTAAGAAGTATTGGATTTTTGGGGCACCTGGGTGGCTCAGTCGGCTAAGCGTGCGACTTCATCTCAGGTCATGATCTCACAGTTCGTGAGTTTGAGCCCTGCGTTGGGCTCTGTGCTGACAGCTGGGAGTCTGGAGCCTGCTTCGGATTCTGTGTCTCCCTCTCTCTCTGCCTCTCCCTGCTCGTGCTCTGTCTCTCTGTCTCTCAAAAGTAAACATTAAAACAATTTTTTTTAAAGAAGTATTGGATTTTTTCCCAAAGAGTAAGTATGGAGGGGGCACATATTACTAGCTTCATATTCACAATCTTATCGTATTCCTCTCCTGTTCTAGGAAGGGCGCTTTTTGCCTCTTGCTATAGAGATAATGGGTAGCAAGAACTAGAAGTTGCTTGGAGGTGTTACAAGGATTTATTTTAGGAGACATGAGAAGAAGCTCATGGACCAAGAAGAGCTGGAGAAGAGTTTTGAATGGGAAGGCAATATTAGGCTAAATAAAATAAGCCAGACAAATACATACAAATACTGTATGATTCTACTTACATGAGGTATCTAGATGAGGCACATTCAGAGAGGCAGAAAGTAGAAAAGTACATATCAGGAACCAAGGGCAGGGGTGGGTGGGGATTATTGTCATGGATGTAGGATTTCTCTTTGTGATGATGAAAAGTTCTGGAAATGGATAGTGGTGATACTTGTAGGACACTGTGAATGTACTTAATGCCAAAGAATCGTACACTTAAACATGGTTAGAATGGTGAATTTTATGTTACATATATTTACCACAGTAAAAAATAGACACACGCACACATGAGTTTTGAATGGGGAAGGAGAATCAGTGAAAGATGGAGATTTTCATGGAATGTTTAGAAGAGAAGATTTAGGGGGAGGTGTGGAAATTGCTACAAAGAGGGTTGGAGATGGGTTTTCCAGGAAGTTCTCTCTAGCACAGACCCCTTTCAGTTCTAGAACCCAAGGACTGTATTTATGTGCTCATGTTATATTCTTTTTCAAACAAAGTACCCGTTCCCCCAACTGTACAAGCTTCAGACCTCATAATTCTGAGTCATGAGTGGGTTTATAGAGAAAGAAATAAATGATGTTAAGAACAATTTTCAAAACTCTGCAAGGCAAAATGACTTCCTTTTTGTGCTAAGGCCTTGGCTAATAAGCCCTCCATAAGGGCCAGCTGAATTCAGAAGGATATAAAGTTGTCTGACTAATTGCCAATTATTCATTAGACCATTTTACACTTTTGTAAGGACCATCTTTAAACTTTGCAGAAGACTGCTAATGCAAATGTTTCTCGCCTTTCGCTATGGATTGAACTGTGCCTTCCCCTGCCCTCCCTCAATTTGTATGTTGAATCCTTAAGCCCCAGTATGATGATATTTGGAGATGAAACATTTGGGGGGTTATTATAGTTAGATAAGTCATGAGGATGTGCCTCATCATACAGTTAGTGCCCTTATAAGAAGAGATACTGGGGGACAAAACCCAAAATAAAACAAAACAAAACAAAACAAACAACAAAAAAGAAGAGGTCCCAGACAGTTTGCCTTCTCTTTCTCTCTGCCATCTGAGGATACAGGGAGAAAAGGGCCATCTTCAAGCCAGAAAGAGAGATCTCACAAGAAAGTGACCATGCTGGCTCCCTGATCTTGGACTTCTCAGCTTCTAGAACTGTGAGAGAATACATTTCTGTTGTTTAGGTCACCCATTCTATATGATGTTTTGTTATGACAGCCTGAATTGACTAAGGCACCTATAGAAAATAATTTGGGGGGGCGCCTGGGTGGCTCAGTTAAGTGTCTGACTTCGGCTCAAGTCATGATCTCACGGTTTGTGGGTTCGAGACCCCGTGTCGGGCTCTGTGTTGACAGCTTAGAGCCTGGAGCCTGCTTTGGATTCTGTGTCTCCCTTTCTCTCTCTGCCTTCCCCTGCTCGTTCTCTGTCTCTCTTTGTCTCTCTGTCTCTCTCTCAAAAATAAACATTTTAAAAAAGAAAGAAAAGAAAATAATTTTTGCCCTGTAGAGATATAAATTACTTCTGAAAGTAGAAAAGAGAACTCCAGAGATAATGGTTTTTGCCCCATAAGAAATAAATCAGTTTTGTATCTAACAATCTTACTCCTGCATTCATTCATTTTTGTTTCCACTAACTACATTTACATTATATTCTCTTATCATCCTTGAACTGCTTTATCATTTTAACGAGCTAAAATAAAACTCTGACATACATGCAATGTGTATAAGAATTTGTGCTTTTAATTTGGAAAATAATGCTTTCAACAGTGAAGAGAGTCTTTTAGGAATTATGCCACATGTTGTGTAATACATTCCACTTTAGTATCTCCTCATGAGACTTCAGTAAAGATACAAATAATTTTTTGTAAAAACAATCCTAAAATTCTTATGGAACCACAAAAGACTTCAAATAGCCAACACATTCCTGAGAAAGAAGAACAAAATTGGAGGCATCATACTTCCTGATTTCAAGCTATATTACAAAGCCATGCTAATCAAAACAGTATGGTACTGGAATGAAAACAGATACATAGACCAATGGAACAGAATGATGAGCCCAGAAATAAGCCCATGCTACACAGTCAACTAATATTTGACAAGAAAGCCAAGTATACTCAGTGGAGAAAAGACAGTTTCTTCAATAAATGGTACTGGGAAAATGAGATATTTACATGTAAAAGAATGAAACTAGACCCCTATCTTATATCACTCATAAAAATTAATTCAAAATATATTGAAGATTTAAATTTAAGATCTGAAACTATAAGAAACCAGAAGAAAACTAGAAGAAAACAGGTAAGCTCCTTGACATGGATCTTGGCAATGATTTTTTTTTGGATATGAGACCTAAAGCACAAGCAACAAAATAAAATTAAACAAATGGGACTACAACAAACTAAAAGCCTTCTGCACAGCAAAAGAAACCGTCAACAAAGTGAAAAAACAACTTATAAAAAGGGAGAAGACATTTTCAAATCATATATCTGATAAGGGGCTAATGTCCAAGATCTATAAAGAACTCATACAACTCAATAGCAAACAAAACAAAACAAGCCAGTTAAAAAACAGACAAAGAAACCCAAATAGAATTTTCCAAGGAAGATACTCAAATACCAACAGGTACATGAAAAAGTGCTCAACATCACTAATCATGAAGGAAATGAAAATCAAAACCACAATGAAAAATTACATGAATAAATACATGTGTTGGGAAAAAAAATTTTTTTTTAATTTTTTTTTAACGTTTATTTATTTTTGAGACAGAGAGAGACAGAGCATGAACAGGGGAGGGGCAGAGAGAGAGGGAGACACAGGATCTGAAACAGGCTCCAGGCTCTGAGCTGTCAGCACAGAGCCCGACGCAGGGCTCGAACTCACGGACCGTGAGATCATGACCTGAGCCGAAGTCAGACGCTTAACCAACTGAGCCACCCAGGCGCCCCAAGGGAAAAAAATTTTTTTAAACAAAGAGGGAGGGGTGCCTGGATCTCCCGGTCCATGAATCCAAGCCCCGTGTCAGGCTCTGTGCTGACAGCTCAGAGCCTGGAGCCTGCTTTGGACTCTGTGTCTCCCTGTCTCTGCACCTCCCCTACTCGCACTTTGTCTCTCTCTCTCTCTCTCCCTCTCAAAAATAAACATTTAAAAAATTTGAAATAAAAAGAGGGAAAAGAAGTGCCAGAAGTGAGGGTGAGGGGGTAAGTTGAAATATTAAGTAAAGCGATCCCTGGGAATATGACATTAAATCTATTGGTGCTAAATAATTTTTGGATTTGGGGAATTAGCAAAGTAGAAGATGTCTGGAGGATGAGCCTTCCAGGCCAAAGGAAGAGCAAGTGTTTCTGGCCTAGAGGCCAGAACATGCTTGGTACATCTGAGGACTCACGAGGAGGCCACTGTGTGGTATGAATAAGGAGAAAGTAGTAGGACACAGGTCAGAGAAGAATAGGGGGAGAGAAACAGTGTTGTAGGGCCTTGTCAGCCATTTTAAGGATTTAGCTTTTGCCTTCAGTGAAATGGGTACTTTGGAAAAGGTTTTTAGAGGAGTTTTACATCTCATGTTTGAAAAAATCACTTTGGCTGCTGTATTTATTGACTAGAGGAGGAGCAATCATGAACACAGGAAGACCAATTAAGAAGCTACTGCAGGGGTGCATGGATGGCTCAGTCAGTTAAGTGTCCAACTCGACTTTGGCTCAGGTCATGATCTCATAGTTCATGGGATCAAGTTTCACATCAGGCTCTGCTCTGTCAGCTTCAGATTCTCCAACTTCCTCTCCCTCTCTGCCCCTCCCCAGTGAACTCTCTTTCTCAAAATAAATAAACGAACATTAAAAA